AATAAAGGGGTTTTAAGAGCTTAATTAGCTTATCTAGATATTTTGGTAGTTTGTTATGGGTTAATTAGATAACGTGGTTTCTGTTAGCTTTCCCTTTATATTCAGTTCTTTCTTCTTTCATAATCGTGTTTACCAAGAAATGAAGTTTCGAGTTCCCTTTCTTCGTCCTTCTCTTGCTTTCTTCATAGTTAAGCATTTATGAAGAAATCAACTTGGTATCAAAGCAGACTGATTCGACCCTCTTCATCCTAGATGCATTCTGCATCTAGATTTTGATTTCTTCTGTCTTTTCATTTTTTTTCTCAAATTGATCCGATTCTGCTTCATTGACATCAATGATGAGCGTTTCTACTGGAAATTTAATTCAACAAATCAAATAGATCCGACCAATCCTCTTTACCTTCATCTTTCTCATCAACCTGGATTGATCTCTTAGTATTGAAGAAATTTGAAGGAGATGGCTTTCGATCATGGCAAAAATCATTGAAAATAGCATTATCTTCTAAGAATAAATTGGATTTTGTGAATGGAACCATCACAAAAACATAATGGAGATCTTGAATGCCTTGGTAGAGGTGTAACAATATTGTCACATCTTGGATATTGAATGTATTGTGCAATGAGATTGGTGATAGCGTGTAGTTGTAGAGTTGTGGTAAGAACTTGATGATAGGTTTGGTCAGTCCAATGGAGCATGATTGTATCAACTACGGAAGAACATTTGTTAAACTCTAGGAAATGCAGATATAATTGCGTATTACACTAAATTGAAACATTGTTGGGATGAATCGGGAACAATTTCCAACCTACCAAGATGTAGCTGTGATGTTGTTTAAGAACTCTTAAAATATGAGCAAGAACTAGGGGTGTTCATCGGGTCAAACCCGGACCAGATCGGGACCGAATAAGGGGCATTTGGTGAACCAAGGACCGAATCAATTAAGGTAAGGACCGGCCTGGGACCGGACGGGTAAAATCTGGACCGGACCGAGACCAAACCGAATAAATGTTATTTTTAATTTTTTTAAAATTTGATTTTATTTATTTAATTTAAAGTATTCAATTGCATAAAAATATTACTACAATTAATTTTTAATCTGTAACATACACTAAACATTGTCAAACACTGTTTTTTTAAATTTTTTAAATACTTTAATAAAAATATATATATCGTCCATCCGTATTACATAAAATTTGTTTGTAATTTTTATTTTACATAGGGAATGTTCTTCTTTTTCCTGTATTTTTACTTTTTGTTCAAAAATTGTGTTTTTGGTTTATTTTGGGAAACAAATATATTGTTTACTATTTTTTTTGTTAGATTGTTTACAATGTTTATTTTTGTTGATTAGAGTTTCATTATTGATAAACTACAAACTTAAGTAATAGTATTGGTACATAAATTTGAAATGCATTAGATCACTAATATATAGGTAATGTTTACTTTTTCACTCTTTTTTATATTTAAAATATTTAAATATCATTAGAATTGGTATCTTATTTTGAATTGAGATATATTTAAAAATTTATATTAAATAATAAAATCAAAACATTTGAAAAACTTTTAGTATTAAAGTTAAATTAATTTTAAGTATAATAAAAACCTTTAAAAAACTACTCCCTCCGTTTGGAAAAACCCTTCCCATTTGATTTGGGGCAAAAATAAGGAAGTGTTAAATTATAGTTGATTTCCAATTTTGCCCCTGATGTGATGAGTAAAAGTAAGATGTGATGGATAGATTATTAAAGAAAAAGTATGATGTGATAGGTAGGGTATGAAAAAGTAAGGGTAAAAGTGGTTTTTTAATAGAAAGGGGAAGTGTTTTATTGGAAGTGGAAAATATGAAAGAGGAAGTGTTTTTGAGAACGGAGGGAGTATATTATAAAAGTATATAAAAACAAATATTTAAAAAAAAAAGTTACTGGTCCGGTCCGGACCGAAACCGGGTGGACCGGACCGGACCGGAACCCGAATAAGGAAAAAATGAGGATCGAAGACCAGACCGAATAAGGACCGGTGCGAACCGGCCTGGCCCGGTTTTGGCCGGGTTTCGGGTCTGTCCGGGTCCGGACTGAATAATGCACACCCCTAGCAAGAACTTAAGTTGATCCTATTTTTCATGGGACTCAATTCAGATTACAACACCACTAGAGGCAATATCCTCATCATGAAACCTTTTCCTTCAGTCTTATCAGCCTTTGGAGTGCTAATTCAAGAAGAGTAACAAAGAGAGATTCAAGTCTCATCTCATTTTATTCTTGAGCATGCATCCTTACAAAGTACATAAAAAAAGATAAGTGTGGTTTATGATCATTGCAAAAAAAGGGCACGTAGGCAACAAATGCTACAGATTGGTATGCTTTCATAAGGACTTCAAATTCACAAAAGGATGATGGCAGTAAATGTTCAACATAAAGATGAGTCTGATGTTTCATCTTAAAGTGATACAGTAAATAATGAGACTCAATTCACTTAAAGAATACACTCATTCTTTACTGTATCACTTGAAGATAAATCATCAAACTCATCCGGTATGTTGAACATTTGCTCCCATCTTCTTTCCTCTTGTGAATTTGAAGTCCTTAGGAAAGCCTACCATAGCATTTTTAGGTTGTGGGCCTTCTCTTTTGCAATGATCACAAACCATAATTTTCTTGCTTTCATGTTCTCTTTGTAAGTAAATGGAGCTGCAACATTTAAGAATGAATAAAATAAGACGAGACTTGAATCTTTCTTTATTTCTCTTCTTGAATTAGCATTTCATAGGCTGATGAGATTGAAGGAAGAGGTTTCATGATAAGGATATTGCCTCTAGTGGTGTTGTAATTTGAATTGAGTCCAATGAGAAATTGGATCAACTTATGTTGCTCAAATTTTGAGAGTTCTTGAATAGTACCACGGCTACATCGTAGTATGTTTGAAACTATTCCCAATTTATCCCAACAGTGTTTCAATTTGGTGTAGTACGTAACTATATCTGCATTTCATTGAGTTATAGAACAAATGCTCTTTTGTATTTGATACAATCGTGCTCCATTGGACTGACCAAACCTATCATTAAGTTCTTTCTACAACTGTGTTGCGTAAAACACGTTATCACCAATCTCCTTGCTCAATACATTCAATTTCCAAGATGTGACCATATTGTTACCCCTTTGCCAAATATTCAATGTGACAGAATCTCTATTAGGTTTTGCAATGGTTCCACTTACAAAGTCCAATTTATTCTTAGTAGATAATGCTATTTTCAATGATTTTTGTTATGTCTCAAAGCCATCTTCATCAAATTTTTTTTGATATCAAGATCAATCCAAGGTGATCACACAGATGAAGGTAAAGAGGATCAGTCGGATCGATTCGATTTGCTGGATTAGAATTTATGGTAAAAACGTTCGTTATTGATGTCGATGAAGCAAAATCATATCAATTCGAGGAAGAGAAAACTGAAGACATTGAAATCTAGATGCAGAACGCATCTAGGATGAAGATGATTGAATCAATCTGCTTTGATACCATGTTGATTTATTCATAAATGCTTAACCATGAACAATGCAAGAGAAGGAAGAAAGGGAGCTGGAGATTTTATTTCTTGGTAAACACGATTATGACAAAAATTGATACAGGGAAAGAAGAAAGTACAGAATACAAAGGGAAAATCTAATAGAAGCCACGTCATCTAATTAGGCCATAACCAACTAACAAAATATCTAGCTAAGCTAATAAAGCTATTCCAACAGTCTGTGAAAGGGTAGATGAAACTGTAAACCATCTCTTCTAGGATTGTGGTTAGGCTAAGCAGCTCAGAATGTGTGTTGCTCATTGGCTGGAAAGTAGTAATGAATGTGAAGATATTCATCAGGCCATTAAAGGGATTTTTGAGAGCAACATAGCTAGAGTACAAAAGGAAATCCTCATGGATGCCATTGCCTCTTTATGGTATGCTATGTGCAACACTAGGAATCTGAAATGTTTTCAGAATCATGATGTGTGAGTCTAGGTGAAAGTCATTCAATAGACAGCAGATGGGTATATGTTGTACTCCTAGATTGAGGTGTTACAGATGGATATATGATGTTTAGATTGCTGTGTCTTTTAGTGGTTTTTGAGCCTCTGTAAGGATGGTGTCCCCTTACTCTTGTACTGTGTTTTTGCCTAGAGGAGATATGATATTGGCCTACTGGATATGAACTAGTTTTTGCAGGAAACCCTGCTGGAACACCTGATGTGGAGTTGCGGATTTGCTAAATGTGTGTATGAGGCTGTTTTTAGGGATATGAATATAGATATTTATGTTAGTCTGTACTCTCCAACTAGGGGTGTTGGAGAGGCTATTATAAAGATTAATAGTCGAAGATTACTATTATAAAGATTAATAGTCGAAGATTACTTTTGTTACTTGGGCTTTGTGTTGCTATGGTATTTGGACAGCAAGGAATGGGGTTGAAGTGCCCTGTTAGTTCTGTACTTGCTAGAAAACATTGTTTTTGGTTGAGGTTTGGTGAATAAATTTTGTGCTCTTGGTTAAAAAAAACATTGTAAGTGTTGTTTCTTACAAAAGGAATAATTGCGCGGGTTGTCCATCATAGAATTTTTACCACTTGCATGGAGTAGTTAGTTTCGAGAAATTTGAATTGTCAATGCCACAATTTACATTCATTTTGTTTCTCAATGCTTTTGGGCTCATGGGTAATTAGCTGTTCAAAATTTGACCCGACTTGAATACCAAATACTTGATTTTGACTAAAAAAGTTTAACCCGAGACCTAAAGGTAATGGAATCAGAAACAACCTGCTAAATAATGGGTCAAACTCAAATCCTACAAGTCCGTCCTTACATGTTGAAGTAAGATTTTTTCAAATGATGCACTTTAATATTAAATATAAAGTTATAATGAGCTAACCCATATTTTCTTTTGTAATGACTTTTTAATGCTCAGTTGGATTTTAACTGAGTTTATTGTCTTTGTGAACATGTTTACTTTCATTTTCCCATCATTCAGGGGAAATGCTGTCATGCGCTCAGCTGCTAGAAAACATAGTAATGTCCAAGAGGGAGACATCTCGATGCCTCTGGAAGTTGAGGGCGCAAGATTACCATCTCGGGCAAACATATCAAAGATGAAGTTGGTGATCAGAAGATTGCTGAGGGTATTTCGTGTCCTCTCTGTGGTAGCCGCCTTTAATGTCCCGCTATACATGATGCTGCTGTTCAAAGACTGGATCGACAAATGATACGACGATGCTGGAATGAGTTGGCCAACTCTTTCTTGAGCAGAAAAAAGTACGTATAGACGAGGGAAGTTTGAACAATCTTCCAGAGTGAATGCCCGCTCTTGTTGTTATTGTGATTGTTCTCATGGTTTAATTTGCAAGTGTCTGTAGTGACAATCCAACCAGAATTTTATGTAAAAGAGGCCATAATGATTTCTTTAAGCCTTATTTATTTATGAACCCGTGAAGGCATGCCACCACTCATCATGAATCCAATATGGTTGGGTCATCTCATCCCCTGAATCCAATATAACCTTATTCTCGGCCTAATACTCTAATAGGGTAAATTCTTTAGTGGACCTTAGACTGTATGAACTTCTTTAATACTCCGTATCTATATAAATTTTGTCCGTATTGCGCTACGGAGACTTTTTCTTCCGTTGAAGATCTCCCATGCCGTAGGTCTGTCTCTCCCGCATTTATTTGTGAAGTTTATGTACTTACATTATGAAGTTATTGAGGCTCATTTCAAAAAAACAAAAACTCGGACAAAAGGAATGCCTATTTTGCATTCACATTTTCAATTAAAGAAACAAAGTTTCACCTCCTTCATTTTTACTAATTTATATTTGTCCAAACAAACTTATTAATGTTCAGATTCGACTCTTCTTTTTAATTACTCATATTGTACAATCTCAGTTTCAATTTAAGCTGTCTGTTTGCTATTCACAAAGTTAAAACTTTAATCACTTTTTTATTAGTTTTCCTTACCCATCCGATATGATATTATAATCATGTCACTTCTTATTTTGTACTCCTTCCGTCCCATTTTATAACGCCTGTTTCGGTTTACGATGTTTGACTGAAGTTATTTTCAAATCATTTTATATGACAAATGGTATAGAGTTAAAAAATAAAAATTACATATCAAAATACTACATCAAAAGATCTACAAAACTAGTAGTGACAACAATATTTTATTTTATCAAATTGCTAACGAAAATATAAAAAGAAAGTGAATGAAGTTTGACCTTGTGAATAGTGAACAGACATTATAATTTGGGACGGAGGAAGTAGAATTTTTTATGTAGTTTTAAATATATAAATTTTAATTTTAAATTTAACCCAATATCCATATAATGTTATAAATTTTCGTTACTCATTAAATATAATATTATAGTCATGTAACATTAGTCTCAACTTTTAATTTGGTGTACTACAAACATTATGCTTTAATTTATGAAAAGTCGTCATAATGTTTCATTCTTGTTGATAAAAACAAGCTAAATTTTTATGTGGTTCTAAGTTTCATGCTTATTTTATAGACTTTAGTCTATTAATATCGTAAAAAAATAAGTCTTTTGGAAAAAAGATAATATTAACTAGTCCACCAATGAAAAGTGTGAGAAGGTCCGCCGAAGAACAACTCTAAAAATTCCATTCAACGGATGTTTATTTTATTGAAAATTGCTTTTGAGTAAAACAACGCATAGATCATTAGATACTCCCATGTCTCCTCCCAAAAAAGATACTCCCACGTCTTTAGCTAATATATGTTGAACTAAATTATATAATTAGTCTTTTATAATAAAAGTTTTTCATATTTAGTCTTATATTGTTAAATATTATATCTGTGGTTCATCTTTAATGAGTACTTTTCTATGGAGAGTCATTTTTTACATTCTATCATGTTGATGTTAATTTGGAAGCTAAAAATGTAATTTCACAATTATCATATATTTTTGTTGTCATATCCAATGCCAGAGATCACTCTTGTCATGTGATGTTAATTTGAATGCTAAAAATGTAATTTCACAATGATCATTTATCTTTTTTGTCATACTCAATGCAGAGATCGTTGTTGATGCGTCGTTTGTCAAATGAAGTTATTATCTACTACAACCATAGTGTACATATCTGGTCTCTGGTCAAAATCCAAGAGCACAACCATAGTCATTATTGTTGTGCATGATGTCTGTCAAATTGTTATCAGAATACGTTGTTAGACATGTGATCGATGAGAAATTGTACTTTTAGTTGTCAAATTAATGCTAACATGATAGAAGGTAAAAAAGAATTATCCATGAAAAGCTGTCTGTAAAAGAAGGATCACAGGAGTAAAATTTGATACTAGAGGACTAAATGTGAGAAACTCACTGTTTTAAAGGACGAATTATAGATTTACTCTATATCATGAATTAATTATTACAAAATTTTTTAAAAAATGAATTTGAATAGTGGAGCCGTGGAGGGGCATGAAGAAAAAAGAAGAATAATAAGAATGAATCATTTTTTTCTTAAATGAAATGAGATACGGAGTATTTTTTAAGAACATCTAAAACGAAAATATAACGTTTTTAGTTGAGGATTGAGTAAAAAGGATGAGCATCATGCCGAAGGACTTTCAGAATCCGCAAGCAGTTATCTGAGAGGAGATAAATTGAACCGTAATCACAGACGGGTTCAAAAATAGAGTCTGCACATGACACTTGCAAAGATGTATGCTTAGTATACTTACCCCTCAACCTAGTTGTCAAAAATCAAATTGGAGTTTATCTTCTTTGGCACTTCTTGGTTAATCAATTGAGCTACACCCATGGATAGTTGAGGAGGGAGTATAGAGTATAGAGAAAGAAGCACAAGAAATGGTCTTCGGTTGTTGAACTTTCTTTGTGGACTGCGGTCTACCGTTGAAAGTACGTAGCCGCCCTAAGCCAAACTGTGTTGGCGACTGACTCTTCTTCAGATTGCGTGGCAACTTCCTCACTTGTCTTCCTCTGTTTAATCTTCCAAATAAATAAACCACTCATAGCCAAGTTTCCCGACGAGAATTAAAGCGCAAGACAACAATTCCCCCCCAACTTCGTTATTCTTCTTTTGAAAACTCTTGGATTTTTGCCATTTAAGCTGCAAATGATGGCAGATCCGTCGGAGGCGGGCGGGACGCTGAACGACTCGACTATGCTCGCGATAACCGGGAAAGCGATGGTCGTGGCGGTCATCAGCCTCGTCTTCGCGGTCGCCTGCGTCTTCCTCTTCCATCTTTACACCAGATGGCTCCGGAGCCGTCAGCGCGGCGGCGGCAGCCGAAGACCCACCACCGCAGGGCGTAGCCATCGGAGACAAGAAGAAGAGAGGTCAGCCCTCCGCCGGGGACTCGACCCGTCTGTGCTGAAGACAATTCCGGTGATCACATTCGGTGCCAGAGAGGTGAAAGAAGAAGTAGAATGCTCTGTGTGTCTCAGCTTGGTGTGTGAGGGTGAAAAGGGAAAGGTTTTGCCCCAATGCAGCCACTGGTTTCACGGGGATTGCATTGACATGTGGTTTCAATCCCATTCCACTTGTCCCCTGTGTCGGAATCCCGTTTCGGAGGGGAAATCTCCGGTCACTGGTGGCAGTTTATTAGGGCCTTGTTTGCGGGAGCCTCCGAGAGGGCCTATATCCACTCAATTACCATGTTCTTCGTCATCGTCGTCAACGAGTAGTAGGCCAGAGGGAAGCTTGGTGATTGATATTCCCAGGGAGATTGTGGGAGAAGACGATGAGCATAAGTCATCTCCTATGGCTACCAGATTGAAGTCTTTTAGAAGGCTGCTAAGCATGGGGAAAAGGGCTGGCCCAAGCAGTCCCACTAGTCATTTAGATTTAGAACAGAGCATGAAAAGTCAAATCTAGGAGTTTAGGAGGATGTGACATACACAAGTACTTGTATTCTTTTGTTTATTAAAAAAAATCTAATAAAAGAAAACTTTCTAATTACATTTAAAGTTGTTTCTTACTATCTCCGTCCAATTTTATAATGCCTGTTTCGGTTTATGATGTTTGACTGAAATTATTTTCAAATCATTTTATATGACAAATGGTATAGAATTAAAAAATAAAAATTACATATTAAAAAACTACATCAAAAGATCTATAAAACTAGTAGTAACAATAATATTTTATTTTATCAAATTGCTAACGAAAATAGAGAAAGAAAGTGAATGAAGTTTGACCCTCTAAATAGTGAACATGCATTATAATTTGGGACGGAGGGAGTATTTTATTCTAATAAAAATGAATAATACTCCATAAGTGAGAAGAATAAGCTAAAGAAAACAAACTTTTAGTCAAGTTGATCCATGTATAAAAGTTGTTTTGGTTTGGTACATTTACCTCAAAACCATGTGGCCATGTATAACAAGTTGTTTCGGATTTGCTTCAAACTAGAGTATTTACGGGTCGAATTAAACGGGTAAAAGAAGAGTTGAGTGAAAAAAAGTAAAAGAAAACTACCATAATATTATAGCCATGTCCATCAGAATATTAGCAAAAGACTTGTACAACACACACCAGGCCATGATGAATGTGGCCTAAACACAAGGACCCTACTCAAACCATATGGACATAATAGTTCAAAGAAAGTACTCAAAAGAAACTTGAAAATTGTCAGAAGAATGGGCATCATGAAAACTGCAGGAGAGGCAAAGTCATCACAGCAGCAAAAACAGAGACCACCAGTACCAGCAACCAAGTTGGGAAAGCAAGTCTCCTTCGGTGTCTCATTTCTTGTTGAAGCTCCTGCCCTGCATTCAGATCCCTTCCATTAGATTCCTCCGGGACCCTGGTGCTTTCTTGATGGGACACGCGATCCAAGCCAGACTCTAATGCAAGTTGCTGTTGATGCTTCTCTACATATTCTGGAAATAACTTCCTAAAAGTCAAGCTGCGTAAAAGAAAAGAATTGAAAATCGAAGGACCAAATGCAGATCAATTTAAAAAAATTATTAATATCATTACAAAATGCCAAGATATGTGTATCAAATGGAATGAGGCGCACTTTTTACAGTTGAAAGCAAGAGAAGCCTTGGCAAGTTGTACTTTCTCGGCAGTAGTTGTAGTTACTGCTCCAGTGGTGTGAGTATTATCCATCTGGGACAAAATAATAAAAGAGACGGCTAATAAGAAAAAACCTGTGAGGGGGTGTTGGTTTTATTCTGCCTAAATACATTAAAAATATACACACAGAACTATAACAATATTTTGTCTGTGGGTGTGTAATGATCACTGTAATTTTTGAAAACTTTGAAGGCCATGAGTGGTCAAGTCAAACTAAGATTGGGTCTCTCACATCTCTCTCTCCTCTTTATATAAAACAGAGTAATTTGATTACTTTCTATTTGTCAATATCAACTTTGGGTCACCAATAAATGTGCTTTTATTGAACCATGTGTAAGAAAATCAAAGTTGTTCTTCAAACTTCAGTGACAAATAAAAGTAAACTTACCATAAATGAGAGAAGTCCTGTGAGGATGCTGCAAGAACAATAAACAAAATCATCAACAAAGAAAAATGCACTAAAAAACAAACAGAAGTTGGCTGCTGCAATGAATGGAAACTAAAATTTTATACTCCCTCCGTCCGGAAATAATCTTCCCACTCTACGTTTTTTTTCGTCCGGAAATAATCTTCCCACTCTACGTTTTTATCAACACTCTTCCAAAAATACCCCTCTTTCTTATTCTACTCAATCACCCCTACCCACGTTACCATGCCCTCCCCCATCTTTTTTCTTTTCTTTCTCTCTCTCTTCCCCTCCCCTTCTTTTTCTTTCTCCTTCTTCTGGAATTGTTCTTCTCCTTCTTCGTTTCTTCTACCTCTCTTTTTCATCTCTCTCTCTCTC